CTCAGCATATAAGGCTGGGGAAAGAAGAAGGAAGGGGGGGATGTTTGGAGTGATGGCGTTTGTCTTCCCAAGTAACCGTTACGTGTGATGGAGCCCTGCTTTCCTGGAGATGGCTGAACACCTGCCTGCTGATGGGAAGGAGTGAATGAATTCCTTGTTTTGCTTTGCTTGCATGCGCGGCTTTTGCTTTACCTATTAAATTGTCTTTATCTCAACCCATGAGATTTCTCACTTTTACTGTTCTGATTCTCTCCCCCATCCCACCGGGGTAGGGGGGAGTGAACAAGCAGCTGTGTGGTGCTGGCTGGGGTTAAACCACGACAGATATTCACCAAGAATTGGGGAGGGCAGGAAAGGAGGGAGTTGTTCCATAGAAATACCTTCCCCACATGTTTTCCCAGACCCCAGCGTTTCACACAAAGCAGAACAAATCACACCCTTAGCAATTCTCTTCAGTTCCATACAGCTGCATGCTGCAGGTGGTGCCCTAAAAATATGTTTGTTTATTTTTCAGCACTGCAGGCTGCAAAACTGCATTTAAGAATGAAATAGATTCCCCTCCATCGCATTCTCCCTTCTTCATTCTGAACCCCTTTCTCTTTTTAACTTGCTGGAAGAAGATGGTAAGATGTAGAAATAAAGTGATAGCAATGTGGCTCAGTCTCAAAAGAACCAAATGGGAGGTACTGGTATGGAGCACAGAGTAAAAAATGACGAGCATGGTGTGTGGCACTGAGATTTTGGTGGTGTACCACTTCTCAGAGAGGCAACTACCACAATAATTGAGTGAAAAATCAGTGGAAGTTTTTCAAAATAGATTTCCATAAACATGAAAAAAAATCAGACAGAGGCTGAGCAAGAAGTAATGTGCTGACATGGGAATGGCTACAAGACAGACATAAATGTCATATATGGTCATTTTTTACATCTGTGATACAAGGATTGGTTTGATTGATACAAGGATAGGCTCTATAGAGGCTGTAGTCTTGCACCAGCATCACCCAATGCACTAAGTGCTCTGTTTCATGGGACAAAGCAGTGGTTGTGGCTGCTTTGCAGCCCCTATTGTCACTGTGCATTATTCCAGCCCTGCTTTGCATACATAATTGCTAAATACCCAAATTGGGATAATCTTTGTTTTATCAGAGCATTTTTTTGCACACATTAGTTCTCAAATAATTTATCCCCATTTTGAAGATTTTCTAAACCACGAGCATTCAGCTGACCAAAGTATAGAGACCACCAAACTGAATTTTCTGTTACTTCTTCAGTGTGAACCTAACTAGCAATTTTGCCCGGTTGCTTGTTTATCCTGCGCAAAATCCACTCCTCAGGAGAAGCTGGCAAAATATCTGTGCATCATCGCATCTGTCTCCCTTTAGTCTCTAAGGCCGGTATTACACAATGAACACCACCACTCTGCACACTGGGGACTCTCCTGACCTTTGGGATCATTTAACCTTCCAGTTGCTTTAATTACTACTTTGTTTAAGCAGTAGAAGAAATGAAAATTCTCCAAAATTTCACTCTTAAAAAACTAAAATCTATGTTGTCTTGCACAAAATTAGCAACAGCATTCGTATGGTTCACAATCTGGTGCTGTTTGCTTCTAGGACACGTTGCTTTGGGGAGATAAGGTGTCTTGGAGACTATAAGTATTCTGCACCTCCTCAGCAGAGTATCTGTCTGCAATCCTTGAAATGTTCCACAGCTCACCTTGAGACTTGCTTTTTAGAAAGTATAAACCATGGGGGGTTTATAGCTTTTATCTTAGCTGTCATATTCTTTCCACTAAGTAATCCACAGCAAATATCACATCTATGTGAAGCCTAATCTTCTGTAGCTGGATTCCTTGTGAGCTTACTGGCAAGCTGTACAAAATACACTGAGTATAATGTTTTCAAAGACTGATATAAGTGGTCTTCAGTGAAGCTGAATGTCTTTGTAACTTTTTATCTGTAGGCAGTAGAAAGCATCCTTAAAAACATGCTGCAGTGCCACCAGTCCGTGAAAAAGCCAAGATCAACATTAGCTTGATCATTGTCATGAACATACAGAAATACAAATAGAAAGCAAGTAACCAATTTGTAGGCTGCAATTTATAGTTTTACAGTTAAAGTGCAAGATTCACTTAAGTGCCCATAAAAGAAAATTGAAAGGAAAGATTAATTTCCTTCTACTAACTGGAGATAAATCTGATCTAAGGCTTGGGTTTGTGGAAAGCTAGTTTGCTGAAAACCAAGCAATATCTGCTCTTCTAACTTTGTGTTATATATATCACTGAGCAGTACCAGGTAATTCCTCTGTTTCTCACCACATTTAATATGATAGTGAATTTATACTAGCATTTCTATTTGAAAAAGGTCCCCATGCCCACAATTTGAAATGTGAAAATGATGTAAACAATAAAGTTGCAAGCACCAGGTTTGGAAAATTGACCCATACTTATACTGTGTAGCTCTTCACTTATGATAATCACATTTACAATAACTGGAATGGAAATATAAAAACAGCTGTAGTTGGCAACAGCTATCAGATTACCAATGGTTTGTTATTCTGAACGATACCCCTGGCTTGCAAAGAGTGACCTTATGTAGAAACACAGCTCTGTTTAGGCACCGACACACAAAAAACCTTGTTGCATCAGGAACAGAATTGAGCTTAAACTATATATTCCTTGAGTTTCTTGTTCATCATTCATTACAAACAAAAAAATTAGGCAGAAAAATAAGCCTGGATATCTCCTTTGGAGGGCTTGAGGGTAGAAAGGCTCTGCAGAGGGATCCGGACAGGCTGGATCTATGGGCCGAGGCCAACTTTATGAGGTTCAACAAGTGCCGGGTCTTGCACTTGGGTCACAACAACCCCATGCAGCGCTACAGGCTTGGGGAAGAGTGGCTGGAAAGCTGCCCAGCAGAGAAGGACCTGGGGGGTGTTGGTCGATAGACGGCTGAACATGAGCCGGCAGTGTGCCCAGGTGGCCAAGAAGGCCAATGGCATCCTGGCCTGTATCAGAAATAGTGTGGCCAGTAGGAGTAGGGAAGTGATCGTGCCCCTGTACTCGGCACTGGTGAGGCCGCACCTCGAATACTGTGTTCAGTTTTGGGCCCCTCACTACAAGAAGGACGTTGAGGTGCTGGAGCGTGTCCAGAGAAGGACAACAAAGCTGGTGAAGGGTCTGGAGAACAAGTCCTTTGAGGAGCGGCTGAGGGAACTGGGGCTGTTTAGCCTGGAGAAGAGGAGGCTGAGGGGAGACCTCATCGCTCTCTACAACTACCTGAAAGGAGGTTGTAGCGAGGTGGGTGTCGGTCTCTTCTCCCAAGTAACAAGCGATAGGACGAGAGGAAATGGCCTCAAGTTGCGCCAGAGGAAGGCTGCCCAGGGAAGTGGTTGAGTCACCATCCCTGGAGGTATTTAAAAGATGTGTGGATGTGGTGCTTAGGGACATGGTTTAGTGGTTAACTTGGCAATGTTAGTTTTCCGGTTGGACTCAATGATCTTAAGGGTCTTTTGCAACCTAAATGAGTCTATGATTCTATGAGTCTATGAGTTAAGCTTGAGTGATAACAATTGCTTGTAAATAAAATTGTAAAGCTATTTTAATCTTATTTACTTATTCACACTGATTTTGTTGCAATTTTCTCTTTGTCTCTTTTGCACCAGCTGTAGCTTGTCAAAATTGCGGGTGTGAACTATCTGGAGAAAGGGCTGCTTTTGTCTTCCAGACCTATCTAGTGCCTGCCTTGCTACCTACTTGGTCAGGGTTCCTTGCTCTGCTACAACACAGAGAGCTGAGGAGCACAGAGACCTGGGATGGCTCCACTGAAGGGAGGTAGTTGGGCTTTCAGGTGAATCAGCCACCAACCTTTTACACTAAGCACCCATGCAGAGATGTATTGACACGGAGATGTATTGTCCCAAAGTCACCGGGTAGTTAGCCATTTACAGCTAGGCTGGGGGATAGACAGATGGAAAAGCTGCTCACTTTTGTGGTAGCTGAGGGCCACATTATATATTATGGACTGTCCAACTGCCTTACATTAACTTCTGGATCTGGCTAACCAGATTTCCTCTCTCTTTTGCCAGTATGGTCCCTCTTTGGACAAAACATTGGAATCTCTTGACCAAAAAATTTATATAGAGGGAGTCATGTACCCAGGCACTGGTCCAAATTTAGATGTATAGCAACAGTCATATATGTCTCCACCTGGGCATAAACACGTTTGTATCACTAGAGCAAACATAAAAATGCAGATTGCCGTTCAATGTAATTAATTCAGTGTTTATGTAATCTTTTCACCTGGGTCAGAGGCAACACAAGGCAAAATTATTAGTACAGCTAAATATGGTTGAAAAACCTATCAATTTCCCCTCAAACAAGCTGTTTTCATTCCTTATAAATTTTCTGCAATGTAAGAGTGGATTCTTATCCTCCTAAAAAGGTTTAAGATTTCTGGTTTTGATTTTCATACAAGTACAACATTTTGTTCTTTTGGGAAGAACCTTTCCCATTCACCTCAAGCGCATATTGACTAATACGGTTAAAGACAAATTGATGAGTTTTGAGTCCTGTGAACTGATTAGTGAATCTATTTTTACTGTTGAAAATTTCTCCTTCATTTTGGCTTTTCTTTTATTTTTAATTTGGCTGTCACAGCAATAGCTGTAACTTCTTATTATGTCACAACTTATATCCTATAGTGTAATTTGAATGTAACCTGATATAAATGATTTGTGGCATGGTTAAGGGTTAAAATGGAGGTCAGGAAAACAGAGTGTGTCATGTTGACAGTTCTCACAGCAATAAACATGTATGTTGGAGCTTTTTGTGTACAGGTGTCTTGCACTAGCTGCAAGACAACAGAGTTTCATAACAAAACTAACACTTAGAGCCAGGGTTTGTGAATGAATGTCACAATACTCCACTATTCTGGTAACAATGTTCTGCAAGAAGAAATGTAGAAAAGGTGGTGGAAGTGAAGCTATCTGTAAACACTTACTGCAAGGAAGATCTGAAGAGAACTGTGAGCCACTTCTATGTACTGATATTCAAGAAAACACCCCGAGACAGTGATATAACGATGATCCTCTGGTGCCCAGTCCGGGGCTGGGGTTACTGAGGTCACGGTACAGCCTGGCCCATTCTCCATCCACCAAGAACGATGCATTGAGATATTAAAGGTCAGAATGAGATCTGTTTCCTGCAAAAGAACAAGTGAAGAATTAATGCGCTGGGATGGTACGCTGGTATCAAATGCCTCAGCAAGCGATTTCACAGGATGCTTAAAGAAGCAAAGAGCAGCGATAAAACTGCACTGTGACATGAAAGTTAGCGGAGCTTACCTGCAGCAAGCACAAGTAGCTGTATCTTGGCAGGCAGAATTGTTTTGGAGCAGAAGAATAATCCTGCAAGCCAGGATCTGTTCCTAGACATTATGGTAGCCTAGACTATAGCAGTCATTTCTGTTACATTGCCCATTTTCCTGTGGAAACCATAAGGACGTGCACATTTACGCAGCAACCCTCCTCTGCTCAGTTCCTAGAAATACGACCTATATGTTGGTGGTCTGATATACCAAACTATACAGAGTCCTCGGGAACCAAGACTTCATAGACTTTAATATGTCTGGGTCATCTGCAAGGAGTTTTGTCTCATGGACCCTGTGACGCAGACCTGTGGGTAGCTCTGCTGAAATATTGGGGAAGACGTAAAAAAAGGATTCTGTACTTTTGCTTACAAGTATAGCCTCTTTGCAAGGCCTCTTTCAGATTTCTAACTTCCTAGGAGTCTGTAAGGAAACGGCTAGTGAGTGTTGCCTTGTCTAAACACTGCTTAGCTTGTTAAAAAGGAGGGGCAAAGAGGCCTGCAACCTAGAACTCCCATGCAGCTACTGCAATGGAGTAACTAGTCAGCCGTGCTTTCCATTAAGATTGCATTTATAAATATTAATAAATATTAATAAATGATTAATATACATCATAAACAATACTACGGATGTGACTCATAAATTATACTTGGTTGCACATTACTTGAGGGTGTTATACATAGTTATAACAAAACTATGGACTTTGTGGATTCTGTAAGAGCCTACAGTGTTTACCAACCCTTTATAAATTATTTATAAGTGTAACCTCATTGTAAAGTGTGACTATCTAGTCTGTGTGCACATGTGCTCAGTCATGCAAAAAAAATTGCTTTTAAGTAATGTCTTTGCAGAGCAAAACTCTCCCCACACCTAACCTACATTTTTTTCAGCCTGTTGATGACATTAATAATTAAGATTCTCATAAAGATTTTAAAATGTAGCTATGTACTTACGTTTACCGTGCCAAAAGGAATAAATAGAATGCCATTCTGTAGCAGATATGTTGTGTCCACATTTCCCTCCCTTCAAAAATAGTCATTTTTTCAATCCCACTTATTTTCCCTTTTTGCACTAACTCATGCAACGGTAACTCCATCCAGAGAAGTTTTGCATAATGTCATGACTAACATGTCAATTAATCCGTGATTACACGGTTTACCGTGCCAAAAGGAATAAATAGAATGCCATTCTGTAGCAGATATGTTGTGTCCACATTTCCCTCCCTTCAAAAATAGTCATTTTTTCAATCCCACTTATTTTCCCTTTTTGCACTAACTCATGCAACGGTAACTCCATCCAGAGAAGTTTTGCATAATGTCATGACTAACATGTCAATTAATCCGTGATTACACTTGACACTGTAGTGTAGCTGAATGTTTTTTCTTTAAGTTGCGGTTCTTGTCTAAAAGTGCAGAAATTTTGTACATTTAAAAAAAATCAATTATTACCCTGTATAAGCACACCCAGCTATCAGATGGCAGGAAGGACCATAAATATTTTTGTGATGAATAATTATCCTACATCACACAACAGCCCAATCCAGCAAATAAGCTGTATGAGAAAACGTATGATGCTTCACATGAATTTACTCATGCAACTAACTTCAAGCATTTGAAGGTGATCAAAGCAACAGTGAACATTTGTATAAACTACGCAAATTTTCCCAAAATAGATGTATTCAGCTATGGCTGTAAGTCTTCACCCCCAACAAGCCTCCTCTTTCTCTGGACCCCTCCCTACCAAAGCTGCAGACACTGGAAAGTGTCTGCCAGGTGTTTTGTGGAAATGGGCACTTCTACCTTACATCCAAGCGAGAAGACTATTTTTCTTTCTGCAGTCAGGGCTGTTACAGCCCCTCAGTAACACACTGTCCTTCTCACCCGGTGTAAGAAGTTGAAGAATGGGTATCTTTGGAGTAACTTTGCTTAAAGTAATAGATTTATTCCTGAATGACTAAAACTGGAATCCATCATGTTATTCTCAGAAGACCTTTAAGCCATTCTAGTTACCATGGAAAATTCTTAACCTCTAGTCTCTCATCAGAGACACAGCATGAATGAATAGGACTCATTGTCTGGCTCTATTTTATCATTTGCAATACCTTCAGAAGAATCGTGATGGACTAAAAATATTTTACAAAGTGCAGGCAAGGGATGAAAAATATATTCCTTGAAAAAGAAGGGGATAAACTGGCTTGCAGGAATGGAGTATTTGTTATGCATCTATGATCAGGAGGAGCTAAACATAAAGATCAAAACTGGGCTTTCTGGTTAGAACATCATTGCTCTAGAGATGGTTATGTTTGCTTATAAAGGGTGCAGTAATCCAAAACTTTACAGGTTAAAAGCACAAGTAAATTTCCAAGTTACACAGGAAATATAATCCCACATTAAAATATTTATAATTACATATGTAAATAAAACTTCACAAAGTCCAGCTTTCTTCCATGCCTGAATTTATCCCCAGACGATTTTCTGAAATAATTTGTTATATTTAGAAAATTCCCTTGCCCTCAAGTCATCTTTTGGCAGTTAAGTTGAATGCTGTGATTACGACTAAATAACCTTGTTTTGTTCAGGAATAGTCTTTTAGTGCTTACCAGTAAAAAATTACAGATTTGTATCAGATCTATATTCTATTCCTATCTCTGAGTAATCAGTAGAATGCTGTGTTGTTTTCTCTGCTCATAAAATAGACCTGATACCTGTCACAGAAATATTATATTCCTTAATTCCTGATATTTGTAAAAACAAATAATTCCTACTGAAAGCCCTGACTTCAGATCTTAAAGAACTTTGAATAATGTGGTTGAGAAGGCTTTCAAGAAGTGTAGCTATTACGTATTGAACCAGCTAACAAACAAGGCCAAGTTCAGAAATCAGAACAATAAGTGGAGGTGAAGTCTGGTTCTGGTAAGATTAGACATCATCCATGGCTCAGGTCAAACTTGGCTGGAATAAGAATGATAATGAAGCCAGATTTTCACAAGCAAACACCTAAGTTAAATCCTGTAAATTCCTATCCCCAAAATATGTGGGATAAGAATAAATGTGGAAGGAGCCTATTCACTACAAAGTCAGCTGCTGCACAGTTAGCTCTTCTCGGGTATAAATTGTTATGGGCTTTGAACTTGCCTATAACCTTCAAACCATGTCCCGCTGTATGCAACCATATAAGCAGAGCAGTTCCTGTTGCTTAGTAGTGAAGGTCACCCAGCTTACAAAAAAGTTTTACTTCCTAGTGAGAAAACTGGTAAGGACTTGAATCTCCTTGTAGAACTGTGTAAGCCAAGGAGGGGCTGATGTATCTATCATTAACATCTCTTATACTGAAAACATTTCGAGCTATTTTTGGACAAACTCCACTTGCTATTTACTTTATTCACTGTTTGAATACAGTTTTAGTGGACAGAGACGAAGTCTACGCTGGAAGCTGGGTATTTGTTGTACTCTCCAGTGTATTTGCTGTCTGTTTTCTTTCCAACATCTGTGGCTCAAACATTATTCAGGGAAATGCAGAGAAATAGTCTGATAAGCCTTGAAGCTATGAAACATAACAAGAACTGTTGATACACGTTGGGCATGCCGATATGGTGTTGTTCACAGTCTGTATATCAAGGAAGATTTCATTATCCTAAATTCAACAAACAGCTGCTTCCTTCATGGACACAGAAATACATCTGTATGAGCTTTATCGATGATCACTGTGCTGCTTTTGTAAATCCTGCTGGCATTTGTAAAGCCCGTTAATGAAAATTGGTGCATTAAAGTAGATTTTGCTATTCATCAAGGAGGAAAAAAACAGAGGAAAATATTTAGTAGAACATCTTTGCTGACATTCTTAAGATGTGCTGGTATTTGTAGTGGTCAGGAGATGTACTGCTGGATTAGACAAAGGCTAGAGTTTGGAGGTCTCAGAGACTCAGATCTGAGAGAATCTGAGACATCTTCAAATTAAGCCTGTAATTTTATTTTAGCTTATTTTGTAAAAAATGTTGAGCTCTGATGGTTTTGTGCCTGTGTTTAATACAGTTATCTACATAACAACTTTTGCTGGGGTTAACTGCATAGTACATAACATTTTCTGGCTGAGGACAGCTGATGACAGAACACGGCAGCAGAAAGCTTTGTAAGAGCTGCCAGAAATGAATACAACCTTCTTTGCATTAAGAAGCAGCACGAGGACAGCAGTGCTCAAAATGAAGACAGGTCTGTGTGTATTGTACTACTACTAGTACATATTAGCAAGTATACTATCTCTATGTAGTAACTACAATATATTGCTGTTTCAATGATTTTTGTTAAGTGCAGCTTAGAGAAGCTGATCCCAAACACAGTGCCAAGAGAAAAAAGAGGCAGCAATGACTCAGGGTGATTCTCTTTGAAAGCCCAGGAGATCTCGCAGGCTCAGGGAAATTAAATTGTACCGACTTCAACGGTTATGGCTTGCTGTGTCATGGGAAATAAGTTTCTTCCATTTTTCTAATTAGGAACTGCTGAAATCTGTGCAAACCTGCCAAGCTTCTGTACAAGTTTTGTCAAATACAACCATGTAACCACTTGTTTCGTTTTTCAAATTCAAACTAGCAAGAGCAGGCTGCTTGGAGACTGAACGATCACACAAGGTTTCAGTGATGAAAGGTCAGGGTCTGAAAGCATCTGTAGTTCCGAATGCCTTGGATGCACAGAGGCCTCTACAGGCATTTTTTTCCTTCTGTTTTCTCACTTTTCCACTAAAACTAGCTCCCATCAGGCAGTACCATTTTCTCATGCAAGCAGACCTTTTCCTGTCTAAGGAAAAAAACTGCCCTCACCGAAGGATCAAAATAGAGCTAG